CTGCGAAGCCAATGTAGCTTGGAGACATGGCCAATGTAAGTCCAAAAGAGCAATAGTTGGCAATTCAAGCCCAGATACAATCAGTTGGTCATGCTGGTGTGGACTATCTTATCTGTTCATAACGAATCAGAGGCAACCTGCTCCAGTGGCGCAATCGGTCAGCGCGCGGTACTTATATGACAGTAGCCTGCAAAGCAATGCCGAGGTTGTGAGTTCAAGCCTCACCTGAAGCAGCAATATTTTGAGGGGAAAAATATATTTGCATCAAGTATGTATATCTACAGGTGTGCTTACATTGTTGGCCAAAGTATAGGAAGCAACAATCAGCTGATGACAAAGGTTTGTGTTTAGTGGTGGGATCAAAAGTATTTAAAAAAGCAGTGGGAATGTTATAGAGGTAAAGGAAAATGATAAGTCTCGTTCTCCATGGATCCATTTTCCTCTTCGTACTCATGATTGAGTCAAAAGAGTAACCTGTCGAGAGAAAAGAACAGAATCGCCTCTCATCTAGTGGTGTACAAAAGCACTTGTGGCTAAGAATAGATAAATAGTCCTTATATCTTGTTTTGTGATGTCCGGGAGTCAACTGCAAAGAAGAATTGAGGTCAGCTACCTGAAACCACACCTTACTTCTTCTGATGCTGAAAAATGTCTTCTCTACTGTGGGCTATCCCTTGGAATATTGAGTAGCCCAAGAATCTTGGGAACTATATCTTACATAGGGAATCAATCGCTGCAAGTGTCTGTTGTCCAAAACTGGTCTAAGCATAGTTGATGGAAAAGGAGGAATTCAGAAATCCACATGAAGCTACGCTTAAAGTTCCTGGTTCGACCTTCCAAGAATAGGAAACCCAGCGAAGGTTCTAGGAGCTCTCTAGATAATTTCTACTGCGAAGCCAATGTAGCTTGGAGACATGGCCAATGTAAGTCCAAAAGAGCAATAGTTGGCAATTCAAGCCCAAATACAATCAGTTGGTCATACTGGCGTGGACTATCTTATCTGTTCATAAGGAATCAGAGGCAACCTGCTCCAGTGGCGCAATCGGCCAGCGCGCGGTACTTATATGACAGTAGCCTGCAAAGCTATGCCGAGGTTGTGAGTTCAAGCCTCACCTGAAGCAGCAATATTTTGAGAGGGGAAAAATATATTTGCATCAAGTAGGTATATCTACAGGTGTGCTTACATTGTTGGCCAAAGTATAGGAAGCAACAATCAGCTGATGACAAAGGTTTGTGTTTAGTGGTGGGATCAAAAGTATTTAAAAAAGCAGTGGGAATGTTATAGAGGTAAAGGAAAATGATAAGTCTCGTTCTCCATGGATCCATTTTCCTCTTCGTACTCATGATTAGGTCAAAAGAGTAACCTGTCGTGAGAAATAGAACAGAATCGCCTCTAATCTAGTGGTGTACAAAAGCACTTGTGGCTAAGAATAGATAAATAGTCCTTATATCTTGTTTTGTGATGTCCGGGAGTCAACTGCAAAGAAGAATTGAGGTCAGCTACCTGAAAACACACCTTACTTCTTCTGATGCTGAAAAATGTCTTCTCTACTGTGGGCTATCCCTTGGAATATTGAGTAGCCCAAGAATCTTGGGAACTATATCTTACCTAGGGAATCAATCACTGCAAGTGTCTGTTGTCCAAAACTGGTCTAAGCAAAGTTGATGGAAAAGGAGGAATTCAGAAATCCACATGAAGCTACGCTTAAAGTTCCTGGTTCGACCTTCCAAGAATAGGAAACCCAGCGAAGGTTCTAGGAGCTCTCTAGATAATTTCTACTGCGAAGCCAATGTAGCTTGGAGACATGGCCAATGTAAGTCCAAAAGAGCAATAGTTGGCAATTCAAGCCCAGATACAATCAGTTGGTCATACTGGCGTGGACTATCTTATCTGTTCATAAGGAATCAGAGGCAACCTGCTCCAGTGGCGCAATCGGTCAGCGCGCGGTACTTATATGACAGTAGCCTGCAAAGCTATGCCGAGGTTGTGAGTTCAAGCCTCACCTGAAGCAGCAATATTTTGAGAGGGGAAAAATATATTTGCATCAAGTAGGTATATCTACAGGTGTGCTTACATTGTTGGCCAAAGTATAGGAAGCAACAATCAGCTGATGACAAAGGTTTGTGTTTAGTGGTGGGATCAAAAGTATTTGAAAAAGCAGTGGGAATGTTATAGAGGTAAAGGAAAATGATAAGTCTCGTTCTCCATGGATCCATTTTCCTCTTCGTACTCATGATTAGGTCAAAAGAGTAACCTGTCGTGAGAAATAGAACAGAATCGCCTCTAATCTAGTGGTGTACAAAAGCACTTGTGGCTAAGAATAGATAAATAGTCCTTATATCTTGTTTTGTGATGTCCGGGAGTCAACTGCAAAGAAGAATTGAGGTCAGCTACCTGAAACCACACCTTACTTCTTCTGATGCTGAAAAATGTCTTCTCTACTGTGGGCTATCCCTTGGAATATTGAGTAGCCCAAGAATCTTGGGAACTATATCTTACCTAGGGAATCAATCACTGCAAGTGTCTGTTGTCCAAAACTGGTCTAAGCAAAGTTGATGGAAAAGGAGGAATTCAGAAATCCACATGAAGCTACGCTTAAAGTTCCTGGTTCGACCTTCCAAGAATAGGAAACCCAGCAAAGGTTCTAGGAGCTCTCTAGATAATTTCTACTGCGAAGCCAATGTAGCTTGGAGACATGGCCAATGTAAGTCCAAAAGAGCAATAGTTGGCAATTCAAGCCCAGATACAATCAGTTGGTCATACTGGCGTGGAGTATCTTATCTGTTCATAAGTAACCAGAGGCAACGTGCCCCAGTGGCGCAAACGGTCAGCGCGCGGTACTTATATGACAGTAGCCTGCACAGCAATGCCGAGGTTGTGAGTTCAAGCCTCACCTGAAGCAGCAATATTTTGAGAGGGGAAAAATATATTTGCATCAAGTAGGTATATCTACAGGTGTGCTTACATTGTTGGCCAAAGTATAGGAAGCAACAATCAGCTGATGACAAAGGTTTGTGTTTAGTGGTGGGATCAAAAGTATTTAAAAAAGCAGTGGGAATGTTATAGAGGTAAAGGAAAATGATAAGTCTCGTTCTCCATGGATCCATTTTCCTCTTCGTACTCATGATTAAGTCAAAAGAGTAACCTGTCGAGAGAATAAGAACAGAATCGCCTTTCATCTAGTGGTGTACAAAACCACTTGTGGCCAAGAATAGATAAATAGTCCTTATATCTTGTTTTGTGATGTCCGGGAGTCAACTGCAAAGAAGAATTGAGGTCAGCTACCTGAAACCACACCTTACTTCTTCTGATGCTGAAAAATGTCTTCTCTACTGTGGGCTATCCCTTGGAATATTGAGTAGCCCAAGAATCTTAGGAACTATATCTTACCTAGGGAATCAATCGCTGCAAGTGTCTGTTGTCCAAAACTGGTCTAAGCAAAGTTGATGGAAAAGGAGGAATTCAGAAATCCACATGAAGCTACGCTTAAAGTTCCTGGTTCGACCTTCCAAGAATAGGAAACCCAGCGAAGGTTCTAGGAGCTCTCTAGATAATTTCTACTGCGAAGCCAATGTAGCTTGGAGACATGGCCAATGTAAGTCCAAAAGAGCAATAGTTGGCAATTCAAGCCCAGATACAATCAGTTGGTCATACTGGCGTGGACTATCTTATCTGTTCATAAGGAATCAGAGGCAACCTGCTCCAGTGGCGCAATCGGTCAGCGCGCGATACTTATATGACAGTAGCCTGCAAAGCTATGCCGAGGTTGTGAGTTCAAGCCTCACCTGAAGCAGCAATATTTTGAGAGGGGAAAAATATATTTGCATCAAGTAGGTATATCTACAGGTGTGCTTACATTGTTGGCGAAAGTATAGGAAGCAACAATCAGCTGATGACAAAGGTTTGTGTTTAGTGGTGGGATCAAAAGTATTTAAAAAAGCAGTGGGAATGTTATAGAGGTAAAGGAAAATGATAAGTCTCGTTCTCCATGGATCCATTTTCCTCTTCGTACTCATGATTAGGTCAAAAGAGTAACCTGTCGTGAGAAATAGAAAAGAATCGCCTCTAATCTAGTGGTGTACAAAAGCACTTGTGGCTAAGAATAGATAAATAGTCCTTATATCTTGTTTTGTGATGTCCGGGAGTCAACTGCAAAGAAGAATTGAGGTCAGCTACCTGAAACCACACCTTACTTCTTCTGATGCTGGAGAATAAGGAAATGTTCTCATTAATTAACATAACAACATAATTGCTCTTCTGGCTCCAGGTAACTGTACGTGAAAGGAGGATGTAGAATTTGGGTTAGGTTTTAGGTTTGTGACACGGTCTAAATTAGTCATGCTCACAGGCCATTGATCTATAGTGGATTCAGCCTTTTAATAGTACAATGTAAATATATTCTTCAAAATGCACACACATACATCAAATACATGGGGGGTGATTAATGAGATCAGATCAGAAACGGGATCTGCATCACAAAACAGCAATTAAAGATATCACTTTAGGTTTTAAAGTAATTGTTCTGCCTAAACTAAAAGTTCTGTGTTTATATTGCTTGTTTCAAATATACCTGTTCGAGTTTAGTCTGTATAGACCAAGACAAACTTTATTGCCATTTTGTACACAGAGGGTGTATACAAAATTAAATTCCGTTCAGTACAGCTCTCAAGACATTTGAGAAACTGTTTTATCTTGGAACTAAAGAAGAAAAAATAAATTTTGAGTGCTTTTGATGGCCCTATTTAAAAAAATCTTCAGAAAATTTTTAAATTATTATGAATAGGTAAAGCTAGAATAATGTCCCCTTCATCTCATTCAAGTATAATTGCTACTTATCTAAAGATGTTTGTTGAAAAAGGGATGTTTATGTCATTTCATTCTTGCAGCAGAGAAAAGGTGGACTGGGAACTGTGGTGGTAAATGTAACATATTAGTTGCAAACTTGATCCCTTTATTGCAAAGTTTAAAACTTGTAGATGAAACAGCTGAGACATCATACCTGTTTTTTCCCGTTTCATTCTGAAACATGTTGTCACAGTACAGAATCTTTTCTCTGGTCATCACATACATTTTCACTTTCGGATACTTTATGGCCAGCTTCAGGAGGTTATTGAAAATAATTCCTTCTCCATCTTGCCTCATGTTTCTCTCGGGGCCCCAAAACACATACGTTGTGTCTGCAGATTGCTTGAAATAATACCACTCCTTTTTTACCAATAGGGGAACAGTGGTGTGAGAAACGACTCGGATATTAGTACGACTCCCGACGTCCTTCTCGAACCCTCTGGTTGGGGCGTTGTTCATACGGATCACACATTCGGTTTGGTCGATTTCATTTCCTGCACGGGCACCAAGCATCTGACCGGAGCTGGAGACCAAGGCACAGCGGTTACAGTGAATATCCAGAAACTGCAACAACATGATAGAAATATTAGCTTGTAGATATTCTGTTTTGTCTAAGCCAGAATTAATAGATCAAATGCAAAAATCTGATGTAGTTTTTAAAGATTCCATCATCATCTCACTGAATTAAGTAACATGTTATTTTGTCTTTTATTCATGTTGTGGGTGAGCAGTATTTTTTGGAGGCAGAAAGTACATAGGCATTATCATGTTACAGCTGTGCACTTTTCTGGTGTACCAGCATCAGCACAGCTAAAGTAAGACTGGATCCAGTTTGTTGGTGTCTGTACAACTCTAGCAGTGAGCCAACCACATAACAGATTGATGTGCAAAAGGCCTCAGAGCGACAGTATTTATTGGTCACTGGCTGAGCATCTTGCTTCAGTTTTTCTGGTATTTCCTATTTTTACGAGTCGTTGGGAAAAACAGGCTTCTGTGTCACTTCATATTAGAACTCAGGGGAAACGGAGGGCTGCGAATATATATTTCTATGAACCGCTGAGTTTGTGAAAATTTAAACAAAAGATGTTTCCCATTATCCATGTATTAAAAAACAGAAATAAAATAAAGATGTCAAACGTCACAACCATTAAACTTAGCCTTGAAGTCAAAAACTAATGAATAAAAAGGGTAATGTGTAAAGTGCGACCAACAATATTTCAGAAAATAGGCAGGAAATGTTTAAAACCAGAACTTTAAAGACTTCTCATTTTTTAGCCTATTACTAGCAGGAGCAGCGCTAGATGTGGGCCCGGGGGGCATGGCCACCCTTACCCATTCATTGGCCACCCGTGTGGCCACCCCTACCATTTTTTCCCTCTAATACAAATGGTGGCAGGAGTAATACTCTCAAGTGGAATATTCAAAACATTTACATTTTTTGTGGTTAATTATACACATCAATATACTAACATCAAAGATGATAAATACAGATTTCATCATTTTTATTCAATCTTATCTAATAGTTTTAGCATATAGGTTCTATTATCGTTTTTTGTTGTTAATTTTTGTGTACCCACACCAAAGCAAGCCTTGTATAACCTAACTGGGGTTAACACAGGTTCTATCCCCACAGCCTGCACTCTGGGTCCCTGAGCAAGACCCTTAACCCCACACTGCTCACCGGGTGCCGCGCAATGGGAGCCCACTGCTCCCCAAGGGGATGGGTCAAATGCAGAGGTATAGCCAGAAAATCTTTATAAGGGTGGCCAGGCAAAAACCAATGTACAGTGAGAGGTGGCTGAAAGAGGATAGGCACCAGAACTCAGGGTCAATCTACACTATTCCAACAGGAAAAGAGCAAAACATCCATATTTTCTAAATAAAGACAAAATATACTTTCCTACAGCCTTTATTAACAAATACATATTTATGACATATATTTAAACATCCGTAATTTCTAGATAAAAGGTATAGAGGATAAAACTTTCAGTTTTGAGATCTGGGGCGTAAACCTTTTACATTGTCATTACTTACCTTCTTGTATAAAATCTGCATAAAATTGATATTTACAAGCACTAATATCTACATAAATTGATTATTTGATAAGTTTTTATTAGAATTGTTATTCATCTATGATTTCACTGAAGACTCCCAGATGACTTGCAGAGACATCATTTCCCTTTACCACATATAAAACAAAATCTAGTTCTGAAAAGAGCATTAATTCTGTACTTATCATCTTTAATGTTATTATATTGATGTGTATAATTAACCATAAAAAAATTAAAATGCTTTGAATATTCAATTTCAGAGTATTACTGCTCTGCTGTATTAGGGGAGAAAATTTGTAGGGGTGGCCAATGATTGGTTTAGGGTGGCCATGGCCACCCTCCATCTAGCTCCACCCCTGGTCAAATTGCATTTCTTCAGTGTGAGATTAATATAGTTCGATTATTAATTACTTTAGAGTAGTAAATGTTATTTATAATTTTGTATTGGATTTCTTTTATTTTGTTAGAAATAACACATTTGTGTGGAAGGAGCCATATTATTTTCCAGTTAATATCAGGGAAAGAGGAGGACCATACATATTTCCCTCTCGGAGTAATTTCCCTTTTCCTAAAAAAAAGGGAAGTATCGGATGGGTTTAGAAGTAATTTTACGCACCATTACGTCCACAGTGGCAAAGGGGGCCCTCTGCTTATCAATATTTAAGCCATTGCAAAATGTACATACAATCTTTCTGTTTCGCAATTCAGCAGAAGCTGTTAATTTGATTAAAAAGTAATTATTTAGCGCACACGTAAACTGAAATTGCCAAAGACCGCCCCTGATGGACACAATGAAACAAAGGTAACGGATCCGATCCTCACCTGTCCCATCCTGCCTGGCCTAATCCTCCTGTAGCCCCTGAGTCTTGAACCAGATGAAGGGCTGCTCGGTGTGATCAGACTTCCGAACCAGAGCAGCAGCAGAAGAGTCAGGCTGAGCAAGCAGACCCACCGTCTAAACTTCTGCTTCGGTCGCAAATTGAGCAGCAGCTTATGGATAAAAGCGGCTTCTCTTGTCCTGGATCCAACTGAGCTCATGTCGCGACTGCAACTGAATTATTCTGTAGCCGGAGCATTTGGAAAATACGCGCAACACACTACCAAACAGCTCAGATTTTGAATAACTTTAAGAATGGAATAATACATCTTCGAAATATTGGGATTAGATGTTATAACAACAAGATATCTTTTTGCCTGTGAAAAATCAGCTGTTGTTCGCCATAACTTCTAATTTTATCAACAGATCCATTAGCGGTTTCTATCCGCTGTCCCTGCTTGCCCGACAACTTTACGCAGCCTGCTTCAGGTTCAGGTTCAGGCTCGTTTGGGAATCAACGAATCCGGAATTTATTTTCATAATAAAAGTATCAAATAAAAAAAGTGAGTAGATATTCAGCATATTTTTAAAAATGATATTTGGTTACATATTGTTTATCTATATATGCTTGCTAAATCCTTCAAAAATCTTAATTTGCAATGAATGATACCTGCTGTGTTTTCTTCAGAAAGAAAATATGCTTTTATTCTGAAGTATGATTAGCTAAACCGGAAACCAATGCTTAATGACGTTTTGTTATGCCTCTATCGTATGGGCTTTTAAGGACTGTTGGTGAATGTGACTTTTTTTAATGCTACTAACGTTCACCTGTAGCTCTTTGGCGGGTCTTTAATTTTGTTATTTCAAAATTAGTATTGGGCGCCCTCTAGCAGTTATAATGCTGCTGTTAGAGTTTAGTTTTTTTTAATAGGTATTTTATTAATTACTTTATGACGCGTTTTTGTTGGTATCTCTATTACTACTGACGTATAATACATTTGGATGCATTTGGACAAAATACTTTTTTCTATTTTTAATCATTGAGTAAATAAACACGTGAAACCCTTATATATATCTAGATATTGATAAAATTATAGCTACAAATAAATTAGTTGTAATTTTATAAACAGAATAAAAACACTTGTGGATATCGAACGATAATTTTCCGCCTTGCTTGTATCGGGGTGGACATCTACGTACATCTGGCACCTGTCAGTTGATTGGATATTATTACACTAGATCCGCCCCTTTTCCCCAAATTTCCCATTCTATTGGTTGAGGAAAAACGTCACACGTGTTTTCTCTTTCTATTGGTCAATTAGCTTGTCAACTACCTTAAGTTCCACCCTATACTAAATGCTGCTGCTTTCTCTTGCGGTGACACAGGGATGCCCTTCTCTCACGTCTTGAATACTCATGGTATGTTGGTGTCGTGAGGGATTATCTTATTAGGTGTTAGCGCTACTGTACTTAAAGCTTCAACCGGAGCCTGTGACGTATCATTTCAGTGCTCCACAGACTGACATCCGCTGATGCTCTGTGGGGATCTGACGATGCCCAAGGCCAGCTATATGAGCTAGCTATCGTTAGCACGCTTGACAGTTGATGTTTGATTTTTAGCATGGCTTCATGATAAGATTTTATACTGTAATTCATGTACAAATTCCTTGGAGATTTACAGTATTACTTTCTGGACTAAAATCATTTAACTCTTTAATTGAAGTAACGCTTTTTAATTTGAAAACTGTTTGCTGTTCGGTTAAAATGATCAGTTTTTAAAATAAGCCTAAAATCCATTAGCTTACAACTAGCTCCTGATTAATAACTGTGGAATATCGCAGTTTTCAATCTAAAGTTGATCTAATAATTGATCCAAGCTGGATTTCCTGTGATTAAACAGTATTTTTGCTGTTTGCCACAAACGAAAACATAAAGATATTCAAGTAAAGGTTGCATGTTTGTAACTCCATAAAAATCACAATAATCAATAAGCTAAAACCTTTATTGACACAATACACGTGACAATTTCTCTTTTACAAAAGTCAGATCAACCAAGTCAAGTTGGTTGGCATCTGCCCATGCCTGTTAGATTTTATGAGCACTATTTTTATCAAATATCAAAGAATTTAAGTAATCCTGTCATGCCCTTGAGTGAAGCATTTCTATCAATCTATCAATCTAATGTTAAGAAGTGTCTCTCATTGGTACAGGTGTGGATGACGGCAGAAAGTTCATCGGTGAGCTGAGTGTTGGCTCGTCTGAGGGCAGAAAGAAAATCCTAATTTTGGGTGAATGTAAGGAAGTGTTGACATGTCGCTGAAACGACCAGAGGGGATGTCTCTCGCCCAGGCTTTGGCCATGACTGTAGCAGAGATACCAGTCTTTCTTTATTCAACATTTGGACAGGTAAAAGTCATTGGAAAAGTTCTTAAACCTCTTGTACTTTGTTCATATTTTGGAGTGCTTCCCCTGTTGCTGCATTGCACAGATGATCCTCTTTCCATTTTGAGTAATTGAGCGGTGCCATGATAGACGTTCAAAGTTGATTAAGAGGTTTTATTATATAACTGTGTTCCTTGTTTCTATAATGATGCTGCTTGTTAATCAAATCTCTTTAACTTCTTTAGCGTGCAGACCTTTAGCATAGATCTTTATTGATGCTGAGAAAAAGTCAGATTTACTCGCTGAAGGCGATTGGCTTTTAATTCAATTTATAGAGATCAAAGTTATCAATGTATGCATGCAATGCATTTCAATTGAAACTAAGTGACATCTTTTTTCAGTCTATATTTTCTCAGCTAAAGCTCTCCCCGAGCCTGAAGAAGGTGCTGTTTGCCACAGCTCTGGGAAGCGTGGCTCTGGCTCTGACTGCTCATCAGCTGAAAAGAAGAGGCAGGAAAAGGAAACAGGCAGTCCAAGCAAAGGAGGGCCAGAAGACCGTGGGAATACCCGATGCTCTGCTGAAAACCGGAAGACCTTCATCTTTAAAGAGAGGTTAGTGGAACCATTATTTTTTTTAAAGTTTCCACATTTTTTACTTGTTGTTGGAGATGTCCTTCAAGATCTATTACATCCTGTTTGCGACAGGTCCGATTACCAGCCGGCAGGTGATGAGCCCCAGCTCTCGGAGCAATGACACTATGAGTGGAATTTCCTCCCTGGCTCCCAGTAAACACTCCAGTTCGTCACACAGCTTGGCATCTGTTAGTTTCATACGTCAACATTTTTCTATAGTTGTTTTTTTTTTTTTTTTTCTTTTTTTTTTTTTAACCCTCTGTTCACTTGGGTATTTCATGTTCTATCTCTGTGTGTTCTTTCTTGACACAGACAAGAGTTCCAAACTCTCCTAATCAGTCTGCTAATCCCTCCACCCCATTGGAGGCAGAGCGTGTGGTGGAAGAATCTGGAGCAGTGGAGGATGCAAATGCAGAGAACCTGTATTTAATGGGTGCGTTTTGATGACTGGATAAATACTCAAATCAGGCTAACTCTATTCTTTGCAAAACAATCTGCAGAAACTTATTCTGTAAAAAGAATAAAGCACATATGCAAAAGGAAACTGAACAGATTTAAATGCTAGTGCGGAATTTAATGCATGTAGAGGTTTTACTCTGCCAAGATGCAAATGATGGGCAAATCCAAACAAATTATCAAAGGAGATATCAGAATGATTCATGCATCTTTTATCTGCAGCACAGCTCCACCCTAAGCTTTTGATTACCACCTTATCTCGAATATTATTGGAAGAGAGCAAAGTTAACTTTCCAAGTTATACAATAAGACCAACAAAAGCCCTCCCCAACACAATTTGTACCTTTTATTAAGCACTTTATGATTGTAATTTTCTTTTCCGAACTTTGCAGTTCATGAAAGGTTTACATGCTGGTCTATTTTACAGAGATACTGACTAATAAATACATAGTTTAATGATGATGTTAATTTTATAAAGGAACTCCTTCCTTTACCACATGCTTCATGGTAAAACGGTTTCATCATTTGTTTCTAGGGATGGAGCTGTTTGATGAAGCTCTACGAAAATGGGAACAAGCCCTAAGTATTCGTCATCACGGGGATTCGACTTCTAGTAACAACAGCCTTGCTTTGCAGGGGGCAGCGTTTAGAGATGAACCCACGGTACATCTTCTGACTTTTTTAAATTAGTTGTATTTGTGGATTCTTGTATTTCTATTTTGCATTGCTGAGTGAAGCGCTGTCAGATTTATACTCAAATCCATGTTGTATAAAACTGAATGCATCTAGATGTATGGCATGAGTTTCCAATTATTAAAAAAAGCTTTTTTCCCATTTGCTTCTAGAATGAGTCCCGTAATAAAGTGTTTGCTGAGAAGTTGGAGACTCTCTTGCACAGGGCGTACCACTTACAGGAGGATTTCGGCAGCAGCATCCCAGCTGACAGCGTGCTTGCAGACTTTGGTAAGGATCAGCTTTGGGATGTATTTTTAGAAACTGCCAGAGACATAAGTGTTTTCAGATGTTCTATAAAGATCAGGATCTGAAAACATAACTGCTGGTTTCATTCTCTATTATAAAGTTTGTTTTCTTTGTCTCTTCAGAGAGCGAAGGGACTCTAATATTGCCTCAGATAGAGAGATTCCACCCGCTGCAAGATGAGGATGCGACAACAGTTACGTCTGATGACTCCTTTTTCTCGGCTGCAGAGGTGAGCTCGTCCCCACAAGTGAAAGTCATCAGTCTGTCACCTTGCCTGATCTTTATCAATTAAATTGCATAACTACACAAAGATCTGCTTATTTTTTATTTTAAGAAAACCAACAATCTGTAGAAGGCAAATTGGCAAAAATATGTATTATTGTTATCAATGCTTTAAAAAGTTATTTAACTTTTTATCTACATGCATTTTGTATCCTCATTAAGACATGCCTACATGTTCCTCTTCCCTGTAGCTTGCCAAAACATTTAACTCTATCGTTGTGTTTTCCTGTGCAGCTGTTTGAAAGCATGACTCTAGAGGATATCTACCAACCAATGAAGCCAGCAGCTCTGTATGAGGAAGCCTTGTCTCTGGTGCAGGAAGACAGGGTGAAATATAGGACTTTGAGGTAACAAGGGAGATCATATGGATCATATGTGTATTTTCATGTGTCCCCTTTATTATTTTGTTTGAATAAATCGTGTAAAAAGTTAAGAATATTTTTTAGTCATTTATTTAGCAATTTTGTGGTAAACTCTACAGAGAATCACTGCCATCTGACTAATAGAAGGGCACCACAATTTCTTTGAAAAGTTCACAGATCACATAAGAGAAAATTTTTAATTGTGCTTTTTTTGGGTTACTGTTGTGCATCAAATATCATGTATTTGTTGTCCTGCAAATGTTTTTTAACGATTACGATTTGAGGCATTAAAGGAATAGTACACCCAAAACATGATTAGCCTTCATTTTCTACTCACCCCCATGCTGAACAACACTCTGGAGTACTTTTTTGATATCTCAAATGCATCTGGAGATCTGGGAGGCTTCTTGTTGTCTGCTGACATTCAAATAATGGAGGTGCCCAGTGCCCGAGACAGAAAGGTCCATAAAAGTCCACAAAAAACGTGTCAATATTCCTCCATACTGCTCGTCCAATGTATTCCAAGTGTCCTGAGTGGGTAGCGTCCATAATTTACTCGAAACGAAGTCATTTAGAATGTTTTTAGAGCATAAACAGTAGTGTATAGGATTTCCTGAAAGCGCGCGCCTGCGCGTTCACGACGCTACGGAAGCCGGCAGACCAAACCAGATGAAAGTGCGCATTCAGCGTCTGCTCTGCCAATAATGCAAGCGTAGAAGAAGAAATGTGCTGTTTACCTGTGCAAAGAAAGAAACAACGAAAGAAAAATGTCTGAGGACTTCAGTGTTGAGGAAGAGCATGAGTTCTTTGCCGAGCTGAATGCGCTGGTTTGGTCTGCCGGCTTCCGTAGCGTCGTGAATGCGCATGTGCGCGCATTCAGGAAATCCTATACACTACTGTTTATGCTCTAAAAACATTCTAAATGACTTTGTTTCGAGTAAATTCTGGATGCTACCCACTCAGGATACTTGGAATACATTGGACGAGCAGTATGGAGGAATATTGAAATGTTTTTTGTGGACTTTTATGGACCTTTCTGCCTCGGTCACCATAGACCTCCATTATTTGAATGTCAGCAGACAGCAAGAAGCCTCCCAGATCTCCAGATGCATTTGAGATATCAAAAAAGTACTCCAGGGTGTTGTTCAGCATGGGGGTGAGTAGAAAATGAAGGCTAATCATGTTTTGGGTGTACTATTCCTTTAACATTCACATGCTTTCTTTTTCACCAGGACTGAATTACTTGAATGCTACAGTGACGAGGATTTCCTGGCCAAGCTTCACTGTGTGAGACAAGCATTCCAGGTCTGTTTTTATTCTCTCTCTATATTGGAAACTATGTGTTTCACATATTTTGCTCACCTTTTTTTTTTTCAGTAACCTTATAGGTTCCAGATTGATTTCTTATAGATATGTTTAATAATGTGTAATACAGCTGGCACACTTAATTGTTCTAATATCATGTACTATTAAAATTCAACATTTTTCAAAAAATATGAAAAGAGAAAGATTAAGTTTTGAGAATCAGTCAACTTGATAGAATCATTAATTGATATCGAATGCGGTTCGCAGCCAAGTATGAAGCAGCCGGGATCAGGATCAGGGCCTCTAAGTCCAAGACCATGGTCTTTAGCAGGAAAAGGGTAGAGGGCCTTCTCCGGGTTGGGGAGGATGTACTGCCTCCAGTGGAGGAGTTTACGTATCTTGGAGTCTTTTTCACGAATGAGGGAAAGATGGAGCGGGAGATCGACAGGCAGATTGGTGCGGCGTTTGCCGTGAAGCGTGCACTTTACCAGTCTGTTGTGGTCAAGAGAGCTGAGCCAAAAAGCAAAGCTCTCGATTTACCTCTCGATCTACTGTCCTACCCTCCTCTGTAGTCATGAGCTTTTGATCATGACCGAAATAATTGAAATCTCTGATACAAGCAGCCAAAATGAGTTTTCTCCGTAGTGTATCTGGGCTCTCCCTTAGAGATGGGGTGAGGAGCTCAGTCATCTGGGGAGGACTCAGAGTAGAGCCGCTGCTCCTCCACATCGAGAGGAGCCAGTTGAGGTGGCTATGGCATCTGGTTAGGAGGCCTCCTGGATATCTCCCTAGTGAGGTGTTCCGGGCACGTCCCATCAAGGGGATACCCAGAGGCAGACCCAGGACACGCTGGAGGGACTATGTTTCTCGGCTGGCCTGGGATCACCTTGGGATTCCCCTGTGGGAAGCTGGCCCAAGTGGCTGGGGAGAGGGACGTCTGGGCCTCCCTACTGAAGCTGCTACCCCCGCAACCCAACTCCGGATAAGCGGAAGAAGATGGATGGATGGAATATTGAATGCTCTTAAAATTTGAGATCGCCTCAACAAAGTAGTAGTTGGAGCACGTCTGTCAGCTATACAACATTTACCTGAATTTGACTCCGAAGATTATTTCCATTCATCTGAATTTAGCACAAGGCTTTCTTTTTTTTCTATGTTTTTTTTTTACATCATGATCACAAAATTTAACAGCTTTTGTTTGGATTTTAAAGAAAAAGTGCTATGTGAAGTAAAAGGAAAATATATCAATTTTTTCCAGCAGTATTTGTACCAAATATCTGAAGAGTGTGGTTACCATATTTGTTTTACCCCCTCTACTCTGACATCCTTAAGTAATCGAGGTTTAGCCAGTTGTGCCACTCATGATGAAGCAGCAGCATAAAGCAAAGGAACACAGGAAGACCTTTTTTCCTACAAGCATCGTGCTATAGTGATCAGCTGAGTTGGGGACTCGGAGAGCATCTAGGTAAACACAGATAAGTTCTATGTAGACTTCAGGCTAGGGAAAAGTTTCATTTTACACCTGGATGAGGGCAGTAGCCATAAGTGCAAAGCATGAATGCTCCATTTTGCTCTTTGTGGTCATTTGTAGGAGGTTTTTTGAGGTTTGTGGTTGTAACATGATAAACTAATAAAAATATCAAGTGCTCGGAAAATTTTAGTTAGCAGCTTTAACTCTGTGACAAAGACTCTTTTAGAAACATTAGTGGCAGTACGCATTATATTTGAATTGGAAAACTGACACCTTAAATGAATGAATGTATAGATCTTATCTGCCATTTCAGTGTGAATTGATTGCCGTCATATTTTATTTTATTTTTTCAGGTGTTATTATTGGATGAAACTCACCGCACATTTTTTATGGAGACAGGGAAACAGATGGTTGCTGGGCTAATGGTTAAGGCCAGTAAGGTATAAGTGATTAAATTAACTTAATTTAACTCTTTGCTTCATTTCTTTTTTTTTTTTTAAAGATGAAAATCTTTCTTTCTTAATGTAACTTAGAGTCCCAAAGGCTTTCTAGAAAGCTATGAAGACATGCTGCTCTACACCCAGAGAGAGGAAACGTGGCCCATTACGAAAATGGAGCTGGAGGGTCGAGGGGTGAGTTTTCACGTCTCGTGAAATGCGTTAATAGTGCTGCATAAGCTCACAGGTGAAGTATGTTTGAATGAAACATAAATGGAATCTTTCTGCGGTTGCTACAGGTGGTGTGTATGAACTTCTTTGACGTTGTTCTGGACTTCATCCTGATGGATGCATTCGAGGACCTTGAGAGCCCCCCCTCCTCGGTGTTAGCTGTTCTAAGGAACCGCTGGCTGTCTGACAGTTTTAAAGAGACCGTTAGTTCCCACACACACATCTGAGGTTCCCCTTACTGCCACTTTTAACGTTTTGAGATTGTCTCTAAAAAACACGTCTCTTTTCCTGGCAGGCTCTGGCGACCGCTTGCTGGTCGGTGTTGAAAGCTAAAAGGCGTCTTCTCATGGTGAGCCAATCAGACTAAGCTTTTTACTGCTTTTTTTATTATTATAGATTTTTGTTATATATTCTGACTCCTTGTCCTAACTCCCTTTCATAGGTACCTGATGGATTTATCGCCCACTTTTATGCCATATCAGAACACGTGAGCCCGGTTTTAGCTTTTGGGTTTTTGGGACCAAGGCAGCATCTGAGTGAAGTTTGCACAATTTTCAAGGTGAGGCAACAGCATGCAAAAACTAATATAACAAAAGTGTATCACATTTAGAAAAGTATGTTTCCGAATTAAATGCTGGTTTATTCGTTGGAAAATTCTTTTAAACAAAAAGATTGTTCTATTTTCCCCCACAATAATCTTTTTCTTAATCATTTAGGACACACTTGCTGTTTAAAAACACTTCACACTTACTGAACTATTCAGGTTTTTTGCTCTGTTTAAAGCTTTCAATAAGTTAATAACTAAACTGTAAAAGTTTCTTTCTTTATGCATGAATTTCAGAGCAGGAATAACATCCTCCCAGTTACTAATTTTAAATACACATACCTGTTGCACAAAAAAAATCTCACCTATCATCATAACTCTTTAAGAATTTTTCTGATTTCTACTTATCTACAGGTTTTAGGCTATATTATTATTTTTATCAAGTGGGAATGCTTATGCATTCCCACTTATTGTTGTTCACTTCAAATTTTTCTGACTCTAACTAGTCCCGCAGTTTTCAACCGATTTCAACAAATTTGGTATCAAAACGTTCAGCTTGTTCAGGAGAATTGTGCTATGTCTTTTGGTAAAGATATTTTTTGTAGTCAAGTGGGAATGCTTATGCATTCCCACTTATTGTTTTTCTGTTTATATTTATTATTATTATTATTGTGTGAATGCTGTAGGCATTCACACTATTGAGATCCTGTTTCTCTTTATTCTTTATTATTATTATTGTGTGAATGCTGTAGGCATTAACACTATTGAGATCCTGTTTCTCTTTATTCTTTATTATTATTATCAAGTGGGAATGCTTATGCATTCCCACTTATTGTTGTTCACTTAAAATTTTTCTGACTCTAACTAGTCCCGCAGTTTTCCACCGATTTCAACAATTTTGGTATCAAAACGTTCAGCTCGTTCAGGAGAATTCTGCTATGTCTTTTGGTAAAGATATTTTTTGTAGTTTTCGCGATATTCAACTTTTTCTGCGATTTTTTTGTCCCATTGAAATGCATGTAGAATTCTTAGATTTCAGCAAACTTCAGCTAAAGCTTCATCGTCTTTGACCTTTAACTACTTCAGCATACTTTCAGCTAGAAACACCATTCAACTTTTAAAATGTTTCTGTGTCTTTCTGCTATTACTGTTTAACTCAGCTTTTTGCTAACTTTTACAGTTAGGCTTCAGTGAAGCTTCAAACTTTAAAAGAGAATTTTAAGATTTTCAGATTTATAATGGAAGTCTATGGACGGAATTCTTTAACTGCTAGAGTGCGTGCTCTAGCTTTTGAGCTGTTCTGGTTTTTCCGAACAAATTCTTCTCAGTCCCTCATTTTTAACTCAATTGAAATAAATTATGCATCAAAACGTAGGGATTTTTGTCAGGATTCAGGAAATATAACCCTCATTTGTGTGGCATTTATGGTTTTCCGACAGTTTGGCCCAGACCATGAAGAAGTCCACACTTCCCCAATAGAAATCCAATGAGAGACTTTCCAAAAATCACAGACAAAATCCAAAACGATACATATTTTCGTATCACTCTCATTTATTAACTATTTGATGTACTAACATGAAACTTGGTATACAACATCTTCAGACCCTTCTAGCACTCAAATTGAAGGAATTTCTTCAATATCATTTATGGTTTAGCTGTTTAGCTGACTTGTTCAGGCATAGGAAAACGCTGATTCTGAGAAAAATCCTCAAACTCAGAAAATGCACATTTTTACATCGTCACCGTGGCCAAATAGTTTTTAGTAGAAATATGAAAGTTGGCACAGTCAAAGCCGAAGGATGGCTGACGTCCACGGTGAAAGAATTTTTTGATTACCTTTTATGGTTTTGGCTCACCGCTCGTTTGTTCGCAGGGAAAGTTTTGCTTTTGAGAATTCTGCTCTACCATTGAGCTGCATGTTATTTAATGAGACCAGCAGGTTTATATTTCTCCTTCCCATTAAGGCTGTGAATGAGCTACAGCCATGAAAGTTATCCCAATCTGAGACAAAGGATAGCTGTCGCTTAGACAGAAAGAATTTTTTAGATACCATT